TTTTAATTATTAATGTTCTTAAAAAAATTTAAATGTTCTCTGAGAACCATGAGAACATCAAATTTTAAACACTGCATGTGACACAATGATCATCCGACTTATGCTTAAAATTCAAAAAAATTTTGACCGCAGTTTTTTTTTTTATACGCGCCTAAACTTTGAACGATGATTACACGGTCAAATTCGATCAAATTTTTTTATTTTAATTCTATATGCTCATAGGATTGACATAAAAAATTTTAATCGAATTTGACTAGGTAGGCGTTGAGTAATATTCGTTCAAAGTTTTGATGTCCTTAAAAAAGAAGCTGCTGCCAATTTTTTTTTAAGTTTTAATGAATATTTCTCGACAACCAGCTATTTAAATTCGACCAATTTTTTAATTTTAATTCTAAAACCAACGGAATTAAAATAAAAAAAATTTTTGGTCGAATTTGTATAGTTGGGTGTCGAGATATTATCATTTAAAGTTCAAAGGAGAAAATTTTACCCAATTTCGAATTTTTTCGATATTTTAAGTTTTTTTTTAAACTTTTCTCAACAATTACTAAACCAAATTCTACTTTTTTTATTTTAATTCTACAATACCATAGAATTAAGATAGAGAAGCTTTCTCCAAATTTAATCAAGCCGTTATTGAGTAATCATCGCTAGAAGTTTTAAAAAAACTTTCGAATTTATTAATAGGTTTATTAGACATAACCTGGCACAGAATGTAAGGGTGCAAAATTACTATCATACAGTACAACATACTGTATCTTAAATTACAGTATTATGCTATATTAATAGTGATTATTAATTATACTATATACTAGCCAAATAGTTAATAATATTGCCTAGAACGATTCAGCATTCGAGACACTGCAAATATAACCATGAAGCTAGTTATTATACTTACGTAATCAAGTGCAAGTTGTGACAATCTGGAACAAACAAACGGTTTTTTTTCTTTTTATAAAGCCGCACGATTTCTAAATTTGAAATTTGAAATTATATACGTATAATCATCTTTTCAATTCGAAAATTTCACACTAATGAGAATGCATTTAATTAGCCCATGTGGAAATCACAGTACGATATTATATTTATTGGCTCGTAATAAAATCAAAATATGCTGCAAATAATGCTGGAATTATTGGAGGAAATGGTGCATTCTGTTCAACATAAACAGCTCTAAGTTGTTTAATGAATATATATTATTATTATAATATTGATCGCTTTATAGAGATAAATATTAGGACGTACATACGTACGTACCTAGCAAGCATATCGAACAGATGTATACCATCAATATGTCCAAATTTAATACTCTCGTCTGGTGAATAAAATGTAAATCCAAAAAAACTTGTTGCATAAATACTTGCCCCTTTCACAAAAGAAACTTGTACATAATCCTTTTCTCCTTTCTTTTCACATTTCCTGTTAATATAGCCATTAAGTATGAAAGTCCAAGTAAGTTTATATTCACACAATTTCAACCCTAAAGGATCATCCGAAGTTGGTGTAGAATTAGTGAACGAAATGATAACTGGTGGTCCCCATCCAAAATAGATCCAATGTTCAAATTTTCCAATTGCTGTCAAGTATTTTGTATAATTTGAAATATTGGGAACATATTTATACTCTTGAACCTCGTAATAACCTGGTGTATCCAATTTAAAAGATCGTGAAATTAATTCAGCAAGTTTCACAGATTGAGTAGAATTTTGAGGTAATGAAGGATCTGAAGTGTTTGCTGGGATCGTTTCGATAATATAATCATAACGGTTGTTTATACTCGTAAGACGTTTTAAACGTAAATTATATTGATACGGGATACTTGAAACATTTGTTTCACTAATTGAATCAGCTTTGTTTATAACATAAAGAACGATGCTAAATATGATTATTGTTAAGGCAAGGATAAAAAGACATGTAAAACAATAAAATGTACCACTGAATTTTGATGTCATTTTCCCGGTTTAAATTGTGATCGTAATTTTCCCATAAATTTATATTTATTTGTCTATTGTTATTGTTCTTACAGTCTCTAATTAGATTTCCGTTCATATCGTGGCTGTGATTTATCCAATCGACGGAACTTCAAATAGAAGGTTTTCGGCTAGTTAATGAGGCTCATGGAGTACAGCACATAAAAAATTCTCTTTATAAATATACTTAAAACAATTATAAATTACGTAGGAAATATCGCTATTAGAGATGTGAGTGAATTACAGTACATATAAATAAACTATAGTTTATTTTAAAACTACAGTTTTACAATAAACTACAGTTTATTTTAAAACTACAGTTTTACAATAAACTACAGTTTATTTTATATTAAACTAATAGTTTACGGATCGCACCTCTAATCGCTATCGCTATATAAGAAAATTATTTATAAACTATGAACCTGACCGTCATAAAAGTCTTCATAATTTACACCGGTTGGCTCAATTGGTTTTTATCGGATAACTACCAAAATTGTAATTATGCTTACTATATTTTCGCGTAATAACGCCTACTAGTGTTCCGCAAAAGATCCGAGTTCGGACCTGGGACCCGTAAAATTTTATATATAAATTTTTTCAAAGTATCAATTCTCTAAAAATTTATAGGTTGTGTTACGTAGGAATGGATTGCCGCACAAAAATGCGCGGCAGATCCTCGATTTTGATTGGCTAATAGCGACGATCAAAAAATTAGGCCGGAATTATACTAATGAAATCGCAGCCGCCCATTAAGTGAAAATTGTTCCTGGGTAGGGTTGTATAACTTACTGTAAGTTATTTTTAAAATGTAAGTTACATTTTAAGCTATGTAAGTTACCATGTAAGGT